GAACAACTTTTTATTTTTGATTTTACTCACTATGTACTTTTTCCTATCATTTTTTGTTTCTTTAAATTTCCAATTTTGATGTATTTTTTAGAAATGTAATTTCAAAATGTTCTATTTTTTTCCTTCTTTTTTGGGCCCATTTTCAAACAGTCTCGCAAAAAAATTTGATAAGCAAGTAGGCCAACGTCAAAGAAAAATTGGAATTTAAATCACATTATCATCACTGAATAAATCTTTCAATTTCTCTTCTAAATTAAAATGAATCATAGAAATCAGGCCTGTTGCAGATCAAATACTATCGCTATCGTATCTTTTCGTATTTTATGCACTGAATTTTGATTTAATCTCTGACCGACAGAAAGTATAGAAATTTTTGAATGAAAAAAATGAGAGCAAACATTTGAAGACATTCAATTCGGACAATATTACATTCATATAATGTTTTTTTTAAGTTGCCGACACGTTTTTTTCTTTCTTATTGGAACACAATAACGATTATTTCCAAAATTTCAAAATAGCATGACAATTTTCGAAAGATATCCGGAATTTATTTCACAAACTGATTGATGTTAGTTTAACTCAGTGTATTGCAGATATTTTTCATTCTTGCAAATATTTCAAATTATTGGACAGCAGTTTTTTTCCTCTAAATGTTTAGCCTTAAAAATTGAGCCAAAAATTTTTCTAAATGATATTTTCATTTAGTTGATAGACTGGAATTTTGAAAATGAATATCTTATAACTTCAACTGTTCACATTTTTAAAACAAATTAAATGTTAATTTTCCCGTGTTTACTATAATTGCAAAGTATTTGCTTTGATTCCTAAAGGCGCCATCTATTCTACTAAAGTTTATTTATTGCAATTTTACTTAAATGTAAGTTTATTCACTTAGCATGAAAGGGATGTTAGATATTAGACTTCAAACCAAATAGCTAATATTTAATTAACCAATTTTATATTCTACTTGTTTCCAGTAAGCTTAAAAGGCAGAATTTCATACATACTGTCATAAATCACCATTTGCACTTACATTTCATGTGGGATTAATTAAAGTGTTTATTTCATTTCATCTTTGGTCGATTGATTCATAAATTACCGTCATATGGTCTCTTATTATTGAAACTATAAATTCTGGTACTTGTGCACATTTAAAAATCTTTACTAATAGCAATTTGCAAATTTCAGGATGCTCATGAAAAAACTAAACTGAGATCAAAGTCCAGGAAAATTTGATCTATTATTATTTTCAGTAATTTGACTAAAGATCTAAATATTGATCGAAGCTAAGTTCAAATTAATTTAGCTTATTTCTTATACTATATATATTAGGATGTGTTTTGTTTTATGAATAGATCACATCACCTGCATTTACAATTCATTGATAATTCGAAATGTGAAGGTTTTGCAAAATTGTTCAAATTGCTAATTAATTTTACAGCGTCTCTAAAAACATTCTACTGCTTGTTTACAGCATTCTGTTCTAAGACGCTATTTCAATTTTTTCAATTAACCAAACTTTTGCAAGCAAACCGTTTTTTTTAAGTTCTTTAAAGAAAAACCCTACATTTTACACAGCAGCTGCTGCGCTAACAGCGACAAAAGTTAGTTCAATTTGTCAGTTGTGCATTTTCGTTTTTTTACAACTTTTTCAAGTGATAGATATTAGGTACCATTTTCTCTTATTAAACTTAATGGAACCAACTATCACTTTTTTTCGAATTCCAACCGCCAAATTCAGATCAAAATCTTCATTGTCTGCCATGTATTTCTCAATCTTCTCATTTTATCATTCCATCCCAATATTGAGAGAGATAGGTGCTAATTTTCTAGAAGTTAAATATTGTGGTTCAGTTTAGAACTCATTTCAAATTTTTTTTTCGTTTCTTTGGTCCGGCTTTAATATGAATAAATAAACAATTCTCATCTTATCCATACTTCATATTAAAAAAGTAAATATTCAGTTTATTTTAAAAATTAAAAAATTTAAATACAATTTTTGATACTATTCATTTTCACAGCTAATTACTATAGCTGGCGATACTGTAATATTCCAATTTGGAATAATAAAGGATAAAAAGTAGTAATAAAATTGTCGGATTACATACATACACTCCTTAAAAACTTAAAATTATATATTAAATTTTTTAAATTTAGAAATACATTGATTTTTTCTGCATATATTTTAAATCATTAAATTGAAAACAGTTTTAGAATCTAATTAAAGCCTATTGATAATTTTGATGAAAAAAAAAATATATAAATGTTTCTTGTGCAACACATATGATCAATACTAGCCATACTTTTTGCTTCATGTTCAATAATTTATAATCTAAATTTCATTTCAACGATTCTGGGCAGTTTTAAAATTTTGATAATCCCAATATTGAAAATTTTGACGTATATTATATTTTCTATTGATAAGAATTTTTGGAAGTTGGGAAAAATTTTTTCAGCTAACTGCTCAGCGCTCAATTTTAATTTTAAAAATTTTTCAGGTTGTTCAAGAAATCATTTTGGAGAATTTATATCTCTCCTGAAAAACTCACGAGATTTTTTTTCCAGCTTTTAGCAATTTTAAGACGAATTGCTAATTGTGAAAGATACTAAGAAATTGGTTTCCCGTATTCAATTGCATCTTGGCGTTAATTATTTCAACTTTGAAATTCAAATTTTCAATAGAATTGTATGCTTTAATTTTATTCGTATCAAACTTCCTTTTATCAATTTCTTTTTCTTTTTAACTGCAAAGTTAAAAATCTTGTTGTTGATTATATATATATATACAATTTTAACGAAAAATGTTAAAATCATGCTAATGTTATCAATATCAGCAATCAATGGAAAGATTAATATGACAAGCAAATATCTGCATATCATTAAATATATTGTATAAATCGTCATCGCTTTGCATGCCGCGATGAAAAATTGCAATCAGAATGGCAGCATATGGAACAACCGCAATTCATCAAAGTACTTCTTGTTCAATCCTTTTTTCTTTTTGAATAAATCAAAAAATTTTCTTGAAGGATTTTTGGAAATGGTACTATTGTAATTTGATTATCAATAAGATATTTCTTATTAAAAATTGTCACCTATAATAGTAAATATAATTGGTAAGTAATTTTTTTCGTTACAATATGTAGAGAGTAATATTATAAATCCTTTAAAAAAATCCCAATTTTAAAATATCACAATTAAACGAGTTTTAAGAAGTTTTTATGTATTGGAATAATTTCCTAATGTTATAACAATTTTCAATTCTTTTATATTAATTTATTATTTCATTTTTAATTTTAGGCGGTGCTCATTTGGTTTTACACATCTTGAAATTGGACTTCTTATATTTTCATCTGCTTTATTGTCGCTATTAATTGGTGTCACAACATTATGGCTTTTCGTATATCAAGGTTTTGTGATGAGTTAAATAAATTTCAATTAGAAACGCTAAATTTTCACTAACAATTGAAGATATAATTTATATATGTATTTGCTTTTTAATTTGCATATAACATATTTGCATTGAGAATCTCATGCATTGGGAATGAATTAATGTGAGAAATATGAGTAATTAAAGTATACGATGGAAATTTTATTTAATTTGATTAATTTTTATAATAACCGTTTTTTCAGCAAGGATTTCTCGATGGAAGAGATTTTTCAGGTTCATCATTATCATTTCCAAGTAATGTTAAACGTGATCTGTTCGAAGAGGCTAACATGTTAGCAGTTGGTATCGATGAAAGCGCATTATATCACAATGGTTATGTGTGCACTTCTAGAGAATGTGCGCAAATTTCTGGCTACTTTGCTAATAACCTTAATGATAAGTTAAGTTCTATTTTTCAAAATTTCCATTTCTTTATCATCAATATCAGTGATAGATAGCCAAAGAAAGGTATCGAATGCAAGAATAGACAAAACAGAAATTCAAACAATGTTAACTTTTTCTTAAATTATAAATATTGAATTTCACCAATAAATTACTATCTTTGCAATTTTTTATTTTATACTCTCAGAAAACTTCCGCAAATTCAATTTCGTATGAACTTTTACAATCTTTTCACTTTTTCATCAATAAATTTTGTTCACAATAAATTTTTTTTTAAAATAAAAGAACGATAATAATGCATAATTGTTAGTGAGATCAGAAAATTTTCTGTTATTTCAATTGTCGATGTCGTTAATGTATTTAATTTTAAAGTATGAAAAAAATTTTTTAAAATATAATTTGGAAAAAATTTCGTTAAAATTTTGGATTGAATTTTTTTGCTTTCTTAATTGTAAGAGAAGATTTCTGACCTTTACATTTAGAATGGCGCAAAATTTATCAATTTCTCGCTGTTATCATTATCATTAGTGTCACCTTATCGGACACTGTAAATCAAAAACAAACAAACAATGATGCTGTAGCATATAAATCATAGTATACCGATCAAATCATATCACTTTTTATTAAACGATCACTGCTGTAAAATTTCGAATACTCTTTTAAGAAAAATTTGATTCTCATGTAAATGTAAAAAAATGAATAAAACCTTCATTTTCTTAAAGTTTAGCCAACAAATAAATTGAAATTTGAATTATTTAACCAAAAGCGGCTCGAATTCGAATAATATTTCATTATATGAAATATATTTATTCTTCGATTAGCATATTCGACTATTTTTCTTCATTTTCATTATGAAAGTAAACTGAGCCTGTGTTCGATTCTTTTTTAGGTTGACCCTTGTGATGACTTCTATGAGTACGCATGCGGTAATTATCCAATTAACCGACATTTACCATCTAATAAGCCTGTTAGACATACCTTAAGCGATATGCAAAATCGTCTTAACAAACAAATCAGAAAGCTCTTGCAGGTTTGAAATTCAATTTTATTCACAATTTAAATGTACTCTTTTTTTGCCTTAATTAAAAGTATTTATTATTGATTTTCTATCCCTAAAGTAGTAGTAAATAACTTTCCAAGTATAATAACTTTCTAAGGCTCCAATAACTGATGATGATAAACCATGGAATCGTCTTGCAAAGCAATATTATCAGAAATGTCTTAATGAAGGTTTGATTTAATGAAATTTTTGAGAATACAAATATATCGATTTGTGTTCTGAGCAAAATGATTAGCAAAATAATTAGATTGGAAATTTAAACTTAAAAAAATATTAAATTCAATATCGCAAAGTGAAATTTGATAATGTAAATACAATTCTCTTTCACAGACCGGAAATTTTTTTCTTTTTTAACAAATAAATTAATCAAAAATATCTTCATTTTTTTTTTGCTTATCGTGAGATAAAGAAATCCTTTGTAAATGTAGTATCATTTGGGAGCGGAAGTTGTATAATTCAAGCTTATTTTTGAAATTTTAATTGGAAAAGAATTTTTGCAGAAGAATATTAACGATTATTTTCAGAAGAATTGAAAGCTACGGGTGCTTCATCGATGCGGAAATTGCTTCAGGATTTAGGTGGTTGGCCAGTTTTGGAAGGGCGCACTTGGAAACCGTGGAATAATAGCTGGGAAAAGCAATTGGCGCGTATTATGAATAGAACAGGTGTCAACGCGATTATTCTAGAACTTGCTGTATCACATGATCCATTAAACAGTTCCAGGTTTATTATTGAGGTGAATTTTTCGTGCGCTTTAAACAGAATTGAAATTTTTGAGAATTTTAAAAAGATCTGAAAAAACTCTTTTTTTCATAAACAATAGGTAAATTAGATTTTTGTCTCGTTTTTTTCGAAATAACTCATTGCAAGCATATGCAAAGAAATAATTCGATTATTTTGCAATCAATCTTTCTTTCATTTCCTCAGACAATTGCATTTCCCAAATGCACCCAAATGAAATCATTTTTCATCAACATTGAGCTTCTCGAATGCAACCTGCAAGATAGATTGGTGCATATTTGCATAATGCATGTATATGTTTTATGTGAATGGATAACTTTTGTGATTCTAATTCCAAATATTCCTGAAATGCAACAAACAAAAGATTTTTTTCTTTCTTTCTTTCATGCAGGTCGATCAACCAAAATGGGGAATAGGCTCGAGATGGCCATACTTAGCCGGAATTCATGGTCATGTCATCCAGAATTACACATCGTTAATGATACAGACAGCTGTTAATATTGGTATTGGCTTTATTAAATAGAGAAATTTAAAAATGAAATAAGTAGGGAAAAGAAAAATGCATGCTAAATGAGAAAAAATTAAATTGTAATTTTGAGGAGCTGATCCGATGCATGCTAAACATGACATGAAAAAAGCAATTGAATTTGAATTACGATTAGTGAATTTTTCGGCTAACGAATTGATTCGACGTAATCCGGAACGTGGTAATAATCGATTTCAGCTCTGGCAATTAAGCAGTCTCTTTCCATCTGTAAATTTTACTTATATTTTTTATATGGTAGAAATTGAATGATAAGTATTTATGTAACCATAAATTTTCATCCACAAATTTCATATTAAACATATATAGTAATAAAGAAATATATTGGTAGTTGTGATGCAATTGTAATTTTAACAGTACTGTAAGTTAATTGAAATGAAGTAGTAAATAGTAACCTTCAGATCGATCTGATAACATACATCTACACGATATTCAGTGGTTTGGAAAAGCTCAGTCCAAACGATACAGTAATCATACGTGAACTGGAATATTTTCGTCAAATTCAAGTATATTATAATCGTTGTATCGTTTATAACTTTTTCCATTTACCTGCAAAATAAAGTTCAATTTATGGATTATTCGTGGAATTTGAGTAAAATTGTGAAATTTTAAATGAAAAGCGGAATGCTAACCAATGATGTTGTAGGATGTAATGCGACGATCCAGTAAACGAACCATTGCTAATTATGTGCTATGGCGAGTAATTCAGGGATATTCATCATTTCTGCCGCCTGTGATGCGAGAACCATTCTATACTTTCAAGACCAATCAAACTGGCATTCCGAATACTCCAATTCCGGATAGGTTAAATTTGTTAATTACGAAATGGTAAAAGATTAAAGAATTAATTTATGGATACATGAATCATTTTGGAGAATGTTATTATTCTAATTTCTACAGCTTAAGCCTTTAATTTGATCCTCAGTATGAAATTATCTTAATTAATTACTTGTAATAATTATTTTACATTGAACTGTTTGTTTAGTGATAGGAAAATTAAGCTTAAAAAAACAAATAAAATCAGCCAAATAGATGCGATGTGATCTTTCAGATGGGAAGATTGTGTCTTCCTGGCAACAATAATGATCGATATGCCCGTTGGAAGGCTTTATGTTGCAAATCATTTCGACCACTTGAGAGCTATGAAAAAAGTTCATTTTTCAAAAATTTCAATTCCACTATATTTAAATATTTAATCTTTTAGTTCTTGAATTAAATTTATAATGCTGAAGATGTAACAGAGATAATTCTTGAGATAAATGCATAATGATGAAATTTTTTTTTAATTTTTTATTAATTAAAAAAGTTTGCACCATTTACTCTTCAATAAAAATAAAAACAATCATTGAATATTATTTAGATGAATGACCTAACAAAGCATTTTAAAAATGAATTAATCAAACAGTTAAAAACGGTCGATTGGATGGATGATGAAACACGGCGACGTGCGATAATTAAAGCACAACATATTAATTACAAAAGTGGATTTCCTTCATATATCTTCAATGAAAGTTATATGGAGAAAAATTGGGCTTTAGTAAGTTTAAGTAAAAAAAAATTCTTCTGCTTCTATTTTAACTATACTTTTTATGCTTTAAAATTTTCATCTTTCAATTTTTGAGAGCTACTAATGATCTATGAAATTTTGATTGTAAGAAATTTGATAATTTTGGTAACACTGAAATTGTTTTGTTTTTTTGAAAGAACAAAAAAATTTTTTTTTCAGCCTGAAACAATAGATAATGAATCATTGCTCGAATTTACAATACGGATAAAACGTGCACGTATTATCGATGAGTTAATGCGATTGAAGAAATTGGTCGATACATCAATTTGGTTTCAAGGTCCAGCTCAAGTTGATGCCTATTATGCGCCAAATTTGAATGAAATGAGTCAGTTTTAATCAATTTAAATTTATTGTAAAACAATAAATGTTGATGCAATATGTGTAATTTCTTTATGAAAATTCTTTATAATTTAAGTATTTCCGGCTGGTATAATGCAATTTCCGTTTATGTCACCCGGTGTACCAAATTATATTACTTATGCGATGGTTGGCGCTGTTATTGGACATGAAGTATCGCATGCTTTCGACGATCAAGGTTTTTCTTGCATAATTTACTGCACTTTATCTGTCTGTATATTTATCTATCAGAATTTAAATTTCAACTCTTTTCCTTTTTCTAAATTTCAATTAATTAGCTAATTATTTAGGTGGTCGTTTTGATGAATACGGTAATTTGCATAATTGGTGGGATGCGCAAACAGCACGTAAATTTTACGAGAAAACAGAATGTTTCATTAAGCAGTATAATGCAATAAAAGTGGAAGAAGCTGGGATACATTTAAATGGGCAATTATCAGTTGGGGAAAATATTGCTGATAATGCTGGCATAAAGACAGCACTTACTGTTTGTTATCGTTTTGAATTATTTCGATTGAATGAAATTTTTTTAAAGTGCAAATGATTTAAAATTATATTAACTATTAATTTGATTTAACTCCTTTTTTAGGCCTACAGATCATGGGTTGAAGAAAATTCTCGACAAGAAGCAGCATTGCCAGGCTTTCAAAATATGACCAGTATACAGATGTTTTTCATTGCTTACGCAAATGTAACTTTATTGATTTTCTTTTAAATTTTACTTCTGACTCTCTTTTTAAATGTTTAATTTAAAAAATGAATGGAAATGCCGTAATTCATGTTAGATTTTTTGTTATTAATTTTGAATTAACAGATGAATTAAATAATGAAGAGCAACAAAAAAAAACACAAAGAAACAAACGATTTCATACAGTTTTTTTTTCTAATAAGTCTAATTTGGCTGCTTTTATTTTATATATTTTTTTTTAAAAAGAGTCGAATTTTTAAGCCTATCATATTTTGTTACTTATCTTGTTAACAATAATTTAAAATTCATTTATTTATTTTTGCTATAAATTACAGAATTGGTGCTCGTTAATAAGGCCAAAACATTATTTGCAAATTATTATGGCGGATGTGCATGCACCAAGCAAATATCGTGCCATAATACCACTTCAGAATCGTCCTGAATTTTCAGAAGCATTCCATTGTCCCAAAGGTTCACCGATGAATCCGGTGAAAAAATGTTCAATTTGGTAAAAAACGATCGGATTTCATCGATTCGATTTGACCTTTATTTTAGGATGTTACTATTTCTGTTGCAGATTCAGATTCCAGTTAGTTACATTCTTTAAATATTTCAGCATTTCTTACATCTACTATTATGAAGTATAGAATATTATCTTTAATAAAAAAAAAGAAAAACAAAGCTAGTGATTCTGGTAATTTGAATTCAAAATCAAAATTTTACTAATTTTTTTCAGGGCACTATTAACGAAAGAATTTTATCCATCTCAGGTATATGGGATTGAAATTAAAATGTTATGCGATTCCAATCTCATAACTTTCTTAATTAATTTTCTTTAACTTTTGTTGTATCGTACACTTTTTCATGATCTCTTCTCACACTTTTTCACATGTTAATTCATTTTTATTTATTCATTGTTTTTAATTCATGAAATTTGATGTAAGTCGTTTATATGGAGATAAATAACGTTACGCAAAGATTTTAATCCTAAAATTTTTCAAAAATTTTATTCAGAAGAAGTTTTTAAGATGTCTGAGAAGAAAAGGGTCATTTTGATTGTTAAAAATGGTTAAAAACATTTGTCATGATTTAATTAGTGCTTATGAAATTTTTTAAACAAATTACATTGCAATTTATTTGTATGCAAAAGGAAACTTTGTTTAATATTTTTCATTCTATATTTCACGGAAGAAATTTCGACATAATTTAATATCATTAAATTATGTCGAAATTTCTTTCGTTGTATGATTGAAATTATTTTTTCTTGCATAAAATTTTGTCATTACTACAATATTTGTATGATAAACAGTTTGAGGAGTTGAAACTGTTCTGTTAATTAAATTTTAATACTATCTTCCAGCAATAATCATATCTCATAAAGGTACTTATTGCAAGAGTAAAAAGTACAGATATTGCTTGCTTTCAGAGCTGAGAACCTTCGGAAGATGCAAATTAAAATTTTCCCCAGGAATTTTTATTCACTCCTCTTTTTTTGATTTTCTTTTTTCAAAAATCGAAAAAAACTAATGAAGAAATTAAAAATTCTTATGGGAACAACAATACTGGCAATGTTTGCCATTGTTGTGAAAGCAATAGACAGAGAGACACATTTTAAAAAAGATTGCATTTAATTTCAAATGAAGTTGAATATTAGCATAGATGTGCAAAAAAATGTGCGATATTTTTTAAATATTTCAAATGAAAATTTATAATTCTGCAAATTTTAGAAAATATTATCGATGTTCTTTTTCTTTGCCTTTTCTTTTTTTTGCTTTCATTCTTTGTTTGCAGTGAAAATAAAGTAGAAATCATAGATCAGAAAATGTGAAGCAGGTGAATCACGTGGTGCACAATCTGTCATACGATATTTGCATATCCATCTAATGGGTACCCATTAGGTTATAATGAATGGGTCATTACTGAGTTATGCAAAAAAAAGGTGCTTTTAAAGCATTAAATTTATTGTAAAAATTGCAATTTTTTGTTGATGTAAAAAGCAAAATAAATCATTTCATTAAGTGCATTTCGTTTTTTTCTCCATTGTTTTGATTTTAATATTTCATAGATGAATGGACAGATTGGATTGTTTAAAGTTTCGAAGTTTTAAATGGATAAAATTGCTGCATTGGCACAGTCTTGATGATATTTTCTCATTAACTATAAAAGTATTTTCTTTAAATAAAATAATGGATGAATGTATATTCCCACGCTATTCATTTCGTTCGTTTCTGATATTTGAAGAAAATTTTAAGAAAGCTCAATTTATAAAAACTTAGGAATCTTTATTACATCCAACATTTTCATCAAAGCTAACTTACACTTTCATTTAGTTTTATTTCTTTTCAAAAAGAATTGGATGTAAAAGAAAAAGTGATGATCTATTAGCTTTCGTTTTCTTTTTGTTTTTTCATTTATAAATTTGTTGAAATGAGGAAGTAAGATTGAAAATATGAATTATGAGGAATAAGATTAGAAATACGAAGTATTAATTACCTGAAAAAAGTTTACAATTTCTAAACGATGTTTTTCGCGAATTCCAGGTAATTGTTTCAGCAAACTTTCAGTCTATAAAGTATTTGCAACATTTGCATATTGTTTATGGAATAATTTACTTTAAAATTAGTAATAAAATTTGACAGACAAGTGCGAAAAACGAAAGTGTTTACCATTATTTTTTTGAGTTATTTTAGGTATCAAACAATTCTATCATTATACTATTTTATTAACTTTCCAATTAACTATCATTATTAATTATCATTATCATTATCCTATCGTTTCTTTCCAAAAAAAGCAAAGCACTCCTTTTTTTTAAATATTGCTCAAATAAATAAAAAATTTTTAATTTCTAAAGAATTTTCATACATTATACAACTGTTTTTGAAAGTTTTTAAGCGCATCAGCGTAAAGAGCATTGTTTACTTGAATTGTTTCAGGTGTTTTGGCACCTTTTAGCTCATACCTTGCGAAATCAAGCGCCTGGCGGAATTTTTCCAATGCTGCAGCATTTAAAATTATAACATTTAAAGCAAGAAATTTTAGAAGTTCAAATTGAAGTGAAATTTTGGTTCAGCACAATTTTAAATTTAAATCCGTCCTTCTCAAGAAGGAATCTAAATGCTATGTCATAATTATGTTAATTTACCATTTCTTGCATCTCGAATATTTTCATAATCGACATTAATGAACGTTCGAATGCCGTGTATAGCACGGCGACCTCTACGCTGATATTGGCGTCGTAACGATGCAAGTTTCAGTGCCGAAGTTTGAATTTGTTCAAATTCCTGCAATTAATGCAAAATTGCATTTTAGTAGCATTAAATCATTAGGCGAGAAAAAATCAAATGCTTCCAATAATCTTTTAATTTATATTTAACTAGCAAAATAAAATGAAATTTTAATTAATCGAATTAATTTTAAATCAAATTTAGCTTTTCAAATAATCAAAAAATAATAATAATGCAGAACTAAAAAAATGGAACTTTTTTTGATTCCATTTGATTGCTTGTTATTTTAAGCGCAATTTCCAATAATTCAAAAGGATCTTCCTGTACTGGAGCTTCAATTTCCATTTTACCGGGCGGTTTTGGCACATAACGTGGATCTTGTTGAAGAATTGAAATTAACTGCTGTGCTATATCTTCAATTATAACCTAAAATAATTTAATATTTTCATAAATGATTAGATATATTTTCTTTTTAAAGAATAAATTGCGAGGAAGAATTGAAGAGTTTTAGTAAAAAATTGTATGCCTCACTTGCCTAGCTAAGTATTAAAATGACAAAATAGATGGATAATCATTTCAATCCATTCTCTCACCTTGTATTCGTCCATTTCTTTGCACATATCCTGGAAACATTTCTTATATTCCGTCTTTTCCGTTGCACCAATTTTTTCACTAATTTTCATTAGCAATTTTCGAAAACCACCACGTTGCTGTCCGATCATTGCATTACTTTCTTGCTTTGCCACTAAATCTTTATCCATATTTAATAGACTAAAAAAATTTCCATTTTTTAATTTAATTTAAATTGTAAAAAAAATTTTTACAGATTTTGAAAGAAATCAATGAATAATATTTTAACTGATGGATATGATAAAAATCATTTTGTTCACATATCGATTGCTTTTTGATACTGATGTTGTTAATTTTTGCTGAGTTCTTAAATTAAAAAAAAACTTAAATTATCTCATAATTTGAGTCTATAAAATATGATAAAATAAGTAAAATAATGCAAAGTCATTTTCGTTTAAGAAAAAAGTTTGCTTTTTTAAACTTTTTATAAGAAATTTTCAGAAGAAAAGACTTTTCCAAATTTAATTTTCAATTCAAATTTCATGTTGAATAATTTATTTTAAAACAGCTTTGTTGAACAAATAATTTAATCAAAAAGCAATAACAAGTTAGATTTATTTTCAATTTCTTTAGCGAACTGCAAGTTTGATTTTAATCGATCCAAACTTCCCACAAAACAGCTAATTATTGACAAGTTAATTAATGAATGCTCTTTTCATACATTCTTTAAAACATATCAATAAATGGCTTATTAACTAATATTTCAATGATTAATGTATGTTTGTCATCAGTTACCAAATCACATTATTCACTTTTAATGATCTAATTTAGACATATTATATTGCTAAAGATTAATTTAATCAAATCCTTACGTTTTATTTCCCGACCGCTTCTCCGGTGTGCTCATTTTTTCATGTGTTATCATAACAGTAAATATTTTATATTATTCGATTTTTTTACATACTTATTTCAATTACTGAATATTTTGTCATTTTCCAGCTTATAAAGAAGTTTTATTATTTAGTATTCAAATTTAAAATATATCAAAAAGTATTCAAATTTATTTAGTATTCAAATTTGGCATTCAAATTAAATTGAGATTCTCTGTTTACACGAAAATTTAGTTATTTTATTAATTGACTTAAATATTTGAATGAATGATTTTTTTAAAACCCTTCTTCCATATTTAGCAATTCAATTGATTTTTTTTATGATTTAATTTAGCAAAAAAAATGTGCATTGATTGATCGAGTTTTTTTACTTTGTTTTGTTTTTTTATTTTTCTAAAATATAATATGATCAGTATTAGTTATTGATGAAATGAATAAGGAAATGGATCGATTTAAAGTGAGAAATGGCACTCTCATAGAAAGAAAATATCGTTAGCTGACAGGGTGACGAATTAAATTTAGCATTAAATTAAAGAATAATTTGAACGATGAATGTATCATATGTACATTTTCCTTACTGCTTCATTGTCTGTCCCATTTTCCTGACTTGCAACACTTATTTAATTAGCCATTTCAAAGAAAAAAATTTTTCGTTGATGTATTTTAAGTGACAAGTGAAAAAATTATCTGTCAGCATTTTATAACTATTATATTTTTTTCCTTCTTTTTTTTAAAAAAATTTGTAGAAAATTCTTGATAGAAAAAAAGAGAAAGAAAAAGAAAGATTTTCAATGATCGATCCATTAAATAATAAAAGTTTGGAAAAGATGTACGGTACGTGGTCTGATATTTCTTTATAGATAATGAATTTTTTATAATCATGCAGCTCCGGAAAGCAGGTGCTCATTAAATTTTAGCAATCAAAGCATTTCTATTTTTCATTCAAATTTTCCTACGAGTTAAATTTACAGCTACACTTCAAATAGCCATCATGGCTAATAATTTCATTCTCATTTAATTTTTATATCCTAACGTTTTGAATTATGTTTGTACAAATTTTAATATATAATATGAATTATGTTTAATTAAACATGTGTTCCGTTTACGTTTTTAAATTGACAAATTTTTTTCAGCTTACTATTTTTGCCATATCTCATTTTAATATTTTAAAAAAATATATGAAAATTTCAACTTTTTTTGATATGGAGAAAAATATTTTTTGAATGTAAAAATTGGCACTTTCGGTTTCTTTCATCACTGATCTTTTTCCATATCATAAGCAGCTTATTTTCATAACAAAATATACTGATTAAAATTAAAATCTGAAATTACCCGTGTAAAATCTTCAAGCCGAAAAATTTTCCAATCACTCCCAACTGCACGACTTATCATTTCCATTTTTCAGGAATAAATCATGCTTGGAATCTGCACGTAATACTGTACTAAATAGCATTTAACAAATGATGCAAGCTAGCCGAAGTGATGAAATTTACGCTGCTGTGATCTGTCTTACGGTTCCTATTGCTGATTCATTCAAATAATGAAATTTAAAAAGAAAAAAAAGCACTGCAATTAAATACAATTAATTGTAATAGCAGACTTACGTTTATTCTCTTTTTATTCTCAACATTTTTTGTTTTGTGCTATTAATAAAATTCGAAATGAATAAAAATTGTTGAATATTTGTAGCTTTCGGTATTCGGTATCATAACAAACGGTACTGCACTTGCAATTATTGCATCTGCGAAGCACATGAAAAATGCTTTCGGTTATTCCTGCATGTCACATGCTATTGGTGACCTCGGCGTATTGATTATTTTCGTCATATGGCTACCACTTCAATTTATTCTGTAAGCTTCAACTGAATGCTTTTCTTTTTATGTTTTTAGAGCGAAAAATAAGTAGCAAAATAGGAAAAGTTTTTCTGAGCGCATATTTTTACATCATTTTACACCATTTCTAATATTATTTCACTAATAAGCCAAATTTGCGCAAAAAATTTTATTTTATCTAAAAAGAATATGTTAATTTTATCCCAAAAATTGTTTAAAAACTTTCATAACTTCGTTTTAAAATGTAAATTGCCATCGTTAGATCGGAATGGAGAAGAAATATATACCTATAAATAGTTGAAAGTGATAAATAGCTGCTAAATATTAAACAAAAAAAGTCGATCAAAGATTTCCAATATTTTAAGTTTTTTTAATGATAGATTCGAAGCAGAGATGGTAATTAACATCTTCAGATAAGAATGTGATAATTTTGAGATCACCTCTATTTAACTATGATTGCCATTTTATTTGAAGTAATACAAATACCACCAAATATAACCATATGCATAATATGCGGAAAATAAAAGGTATAAATCTCAGACATGAAAAGTTTGTAATCTCATTTTATAATTATAAGTTGAAGTTAAGTTCAAGTTTTATGAATATTTCCTAAGGTTTCGATGTTAGCTGTGATTGCCACTTTATTCGAAATATTACAAATAAACTCTTAAATAATTTGGACAGGTAATATAACCGAAAAAAGTGAACTCAAAGCAAATAAGTTGTAGAAATTAGGAATAAAGTTTGCTGGGTTTATAAGAAAGCTATTAGTAAGAAAACACATTTGGTATTTGAGTATTTCTCAATAAGTTTGTTTAATTTTTGTATATTTTAAGCTTTTTGTCTTTTTCAAAATCATTTTTAAAAAATTGAATTTATTATTATCAAAATGAAACAAAAAAAAAATGATAACTTACCGAAAGAACAGCCGAAGCACAATTGAAAGTGAAAAACTTTTTTGATTTTGGAGAACTTATTGGAACAAAAATTATTTTTTTCTGCTACTGTAACCAATGCTTATGTCAGAAATCTTTCAGTTCTTCTAATAAGTTTGGAAACTTTTTTTTATTGAAATTTTAATTAACAAAAAGAAAATTATTATTGGTTCTTCGCGTAGCGATATTGAAAATTTGTTCTAATGCTAACTGTCTAATTGTTTAGGAACCTAAAATAAAAAACACACATAAAATTTATATTTTCAATTTCTTCGTTTAAAGTAATTTTCACCTCTTTTTTCTCATATCGCAAATGAACATTGAATAATCGCAGTACAATTCTGCTTAACAACCTTAAATATGACCTTTGCGTTTCCGAAATAACCTGCAAAGTCAATACTCATCACTTCAATGCAGTCTCTTCTTTTGAAAATTCAACCCTTTGAAAATGCGGTAGTTGGAGATTGACAAATCGATAAAGAGATGAATTTTTTAATAATTAAAATCTTTGCCTTTTTTCATTCTCTTTGTTTGAATATTGTTGACAACAAATAGCTAACAATAATTTGGAATGAGCTTTTTCGACTGTTTTAAATTATTCAAATTAAAGACTAAATTTCCACATGATAAATTTACTGCCTTTTTCTGGGCAAAGTAAAGAGACTTTTATTTTAACTAAATTGAGAGGTTTCAAAAAAGTGCCATTAAAAATTGATATTTATTTTAATTAGTGCCTTTTAAATATTATTATAAACTTCAGTTCAATATAATCAATCACAATATAACTCATAGAAATGCAGTTATATCGTGATTGATTTTTTTAAGCGTAGAAAACTTCGCAATAAATTTCGGAAAACCTGATTATTGCTGTGAAATTGTGATTTAAATCAAAATTATCGAAATTTTAAGGATGGCAGTTGTATTTATTTGCAGTTTATTCACTCAAAATGACAGATTCTTCTATTTTTGCTGAAATTATCATTTCAAATGTGAATTCTGATTCATATAATTTCAGTGTCTTATTTTAATCACACAGAAATATTAAGATTATTCGGCATTTTTTAAAAATATACGTGTTCTTTAACTGAAATATATTAATTTTTATGCTGTATGATTTTAAATCGTTTTTGAAATTTTTTAAAATAATAAATGCTTCTGGGAAATATTTTTCAATTTTTATTCTAATAAAATGGAAATTTGTTAAGTGAGAATTTTTGTTTTTTATGAATCTTACGGTAATCAAATTTCATTAGGTGAACTCAGAATTTTTATAAATTTTCTTGCAAAGCTATTTTGCTTTTTTTTCTGAAGTAGTCATACACGTTCAAATAGCATTCATTTTTTTTTAAAATAGGAAACGGTAAAATCTCGAAAGTGTACTGTCATATATTACCAGATAGTTAATGAGCTCGCTTAGTATCGCTATTTCCAAATACAAGTGTATCTCACTATCAGTGAATTCATAAGATTTTTGTTGGCGATATTGTTGATTATTAATTTCTATTCTTCAACTTAACAAAATTATTGTGTAAAAAAATGAAATAAATTAAGAGTAATTGCATAAAATAAAATGCACTGCTGTTATAAAATTTAATAAAATATGAAAAATAACCTTTGGAAAAGTGAGACGACAAATAAATTGTAAAAATATAGCCTTTGGATTACAAATATTATAATATAATAAATTAACTCGCCATTTAAGGTAAATGATGTGCATTGTGATTGATGATAATACCTATTATTGAACTCTTAATTGAGTAAAAGTAATGTTTTGATTTTGTGCATGTTCCATGCATTCATTAAGCCATGATAATTAGCTTATCATACGACTGATATTTTATGGGAATTTAGATTGAAATTAAACCTGTAGTTTGTTAGAAGAATTGAAACAATATTTAAAAATTAAATTGAGAGAAAGTAAATTTAGCTTGTTATCTGATACTAATTCTTCTACCAAACTACAAGTTTAATTTCAAAATCTAAACCTTACGTTATCTTATACGTAAGTAATATAAGGTTCTAATTATTAAAAGTGCCTTTCATGACATGTTTTGCTAAAATGATGTTCATAACTTTATGAAAAATAATTAATCAATTCGTTATTTTCTATTGATAATCTTGAACACATAAAAAATTTTTAATTACTTTAAATAATTTTTTTTGTGATTTATAAATGATAAATATTATTTTGTGCTATCATATCTCAGTAATAAGCTATATCTCAGCTAAACGAAAATTTAGAACTCCGGAAATTATGCCAAAGATTTTGCAAAATGAACGATTAGCATATACGGTTGGCCAAGCAACAATTATATTTTATTATGGCGCAATTTACACACATATACTAATTGGCTTAAATCGTTTTATTGCTATTGCAAAGCCATTATCATACGAGGTATACTTCAGTGATCGTAAAACAATGAAATGGATTGCACTAATTTGGATCATTTCTTTCATGCAAAGTTGCATTTATCAGTTTGGTAAATTTTTTCATTTTCCTCTCAAAATAATCTTTTATAATTTGGTCTGAAAATATCATTTTTAAAGAAATGAAAATTTTCAATTAATATGAAAAGCTACAAAAAAGGCGAAAAACTTGTAAATTAACATCATTTGAAATTATTTGCAAATTCATGAAAATTTATAAATATTAAAAGATTTAATAATATATTTCATACTATTTCAGATGGTTGCCATTTTTATTTTGATCGTGCTGCAATGCTATTTCTTTATTCTGATGCGCTTTGCGCTCAAATCATTTCTGTTTACTGCGAATTTTATCTAAATTTATCACTTGTGATATTTATAGTAACACTCGACGTATTGACATTATATAAGCTCAGAAAAATGGCTAAGGTTGGCATTTTTTCTTTATTCTTTTAATAATTGTTAATGAGAATTTATTACGAGTAAATTACATTTTTCGTCATTATTTGCTAAAATTAAATATCAATTAATCTTAAATTGATTGCAGCTGTTTAAATGCAATTTAAATTCATGGTAATATTATAGCAATAGTTTATGCTTTTTTAGCAAAGTACATAATACAAGGAAGAAATTTGCTGTGACAGGTAAGACAATATTGACAGGTTGAAAGAAAGCATGTAGCAGCAAACTTCAAAACTAATAAACGATTTTTTTGCATTTTTCAGAAACAGTCAGCTTGATAAAAGAAATTATGAAATAAATTGCTTTAAATGAAATCAAATTTATTTTCTTACAGTTTGATTTTATGCTTTAAATGAAATTAAATTTATTTCATAGTTGATCAAATCAAAGCACTATTTGATTAATCAATATTATATGATCGATGATCTCCCTATCACAAACATATAACTGATAAAGATGAATTTCTTTTGCCAATGGGATTATTAATTGCAAAAATTATTACATCTTTCTTTTTTTTCTTTTTTAGCCAACACAAGGCATGGAACAAGTAAGTCATAGACGGCGATCATTAGAAATTCGATATTTCATTCAGGTGATAATTGAAGTTTATTATAATTGAAACGGCTTTTAAAGCATGATAATATCGTGAAGTATCAAATACTTTTGCATTCCAATTAATTTTTAAATTTTAATGTGGCAATTTTTTTTTTGTTGCGCACTTATCCCAATTATATCATTTTCCATCAAAAATTGATAATTTCAGTCTGTTTGCTCGGAAACAGCGCTTATACTAACATTTGTATGCTTTTGGTGTATCGCACTTTATGCGACAACACCGTTTTCGATGTTTGTATTAAACGTTGGTGCTTGGCTAACTATGCATGCCATTGATGGGTTTGTTATCAATTCTTCCTCATTTTTCAATATTTCAATTCTTCATTTTTACATATGTTAATAATTTCTAGTGGCAATTGAAAGAATTAATTTAATTAATGTTATTTTTCTTTTGATAATAATATCATTAATTAAATTTGGTCAACTTTTTCTCTGTGCAGGTTTATTATGACTGCATTCAATCATCAAATCCTTAAAATGAAGACGGCAAAAAGAACCTCTCTACCAATAGTAACAATTGCTTTATCGGCAGCCGTAACAACCAGAAGGCCAAATAATAACAAACCGGTAAATCGAGTAGTAGAACGATGGCTTCATTTTATAACGAAAGTAAAATGAAAACGAATCAAATTAATCATCCAAGAGGACATAAATAAATTGAATAATCATTTCAATATTTTTTCAAGATTTCAAATGCATGAAATTATATGGAAATGAAGTCACAGTGCTGTTTCGAATTTTGATATGATAAAAATAATTATGAGATTCAAATTTAACCTTAGCTTTTAGTTATCCGTTTTAAATTTGTTCATTTTTGTTTATTGCTGAATGTGTCAAATTTACGATAAACAATGATAGAGTAATTGTTTAATTATTCCTCATCTCCACAAACAATCTCTATCACTTTGATAGTACAAATCTTTTTGAACTAGTTGCATTTGTTGATTATAATTTGAATTGCTATTTGATAAAGTAATTACTAAAGTCAACTTATTTTTTGTTACACTGTAATAATAACCCAAAGTAATATTATTAAATAAATTCTAAAAAAGTTCATAAATTTAAAAAATTTCAAGTATCTATAAAATATAACCGTTATTATTTTTACCATTTATTAACAGTTTTCAAAAAAAACTCTTTTTTTTGAAAATTGTTGATAAATAATAAAAATTATTGAATTTTTCATTCAATTTCCATTAATCCTCAATAACAGAAAATTTGGAAAACAAAAAACACTGAAAAATTAAAAATTAATTGGGTTATGATAAAAAAAAACGTCAAAAAAGGCTAAAATTCTATAAGCTGTGAAAATTTATCCATTGTTGAGATAAGCAGAGAAGAAAAAAATTTTTTCTCTCTCTTCAAATTTATTTGAATTACTTTTGATAATTTGCCTCCTTCTATTATAGAAGATTTTGAAGATAAACAATGGAAAAGACGAAATTCTCAGAATTAACTTTTTTTTCCAATTTAGCATATTATTTCAAAAATGTTGTGATTGAAGGAAGAAAATTCTCAGGAGGTTTCTGCTTATTCTTTTATTGAAGTTGGTAATTACAATTTTAACGACATCAGAAAAAAAAGAGATTTGACTTTCCTTGATGAACGAAGACTTTCATGTTATTGCAGTTTTTTAGGGCCTATAAAGAAGTTTGGCTTTTTTACATTTTGCAATATATTTCATATTCTTCCATATTTTTTTTCAAATTTGAAAGAAAAAAATGTATTATTTTTATTTATATTTCTTCATCGTCTTAATTTATGATGTTAATAGTCATTTTTCTGTTTGAATTTTTTGCCAACATTATGATTTCTAAAAATCAAATGCAGAAATATACCGCATTCTGCATTTTTTTTTTAAATTTGAGAAAAAAAAAAACAGCTCTTTCGTTAGTGTTATTATTTTTAACACAGCTATCAATAATTATTTTTCTGTTTCTGCTATTAGCCACTTCATTCAGTGTCGTTTTAATTTGATTGCTAAAGTTATTGTGAATTTTTTGTACTTCAAATGGCTAATATCAAAATTCGTTTAAAATTAAACAATTTGAAATTTCACTTGGTTAATTTTATATTAAATTGTTTTTGATCAATAATTCTTTTATTTATAAACTTTTTATTTTTTATTTTTTGAATACTAGAAAAAATTTAATTATCCATCTATTAATATTTTTCAGTGTATTTTTTTGGACAGCTTAAATGATAACTTTAAGGCATTTTTTCAACATTCCAAAGTATAACGAATGTAGTTTTAACCAATAGCGCTTACTGACACCGTCATTATTTTTTCACCCCCTGAAAAACCCAACAGAAATGATAATTTTAAATGAAGGATGAATGGTAATTGTGCACAGAGAGATTTACTATATATTCATCAAACAAACTTTCCCTTATCATCCAATTTTGAATCCCTAAATAAAGGCCTTAAAATGAAGGCTTCTCACTTTTCGATCAAATTACACATTGTCCATTGCTACTATAAGATTTATGATATTTATATAACGAGTAAAAAATTGAATTATGACTTCAATTACACACAGTTCAGCAGTTCAAAAAGAAAAATGCGCCTTTTAATATATAATGTTTACTCGGAATGTAACCATTTAGAATTCGGCGTTTTTTCATTTCTCTGTCATCCATCCTTATCATCATTTCATCCTCCTTGATAATTTCAAGTTTTTTTTTTGTCGCTAAAACTTATTATACATTTAAATAATGCATTGTATACCTTGGACTAAAATTGAAACTAAAATTAAGAGATGTAAAAAAAGATAACAAGAGACAAGAAGTTCGATCATAAATTTCTTTCGAGAGCAACTGATATACTTAATTTATATTCCAATTAAATGACTTTTTCTTTTTTTCTTTTTTTTACTTCCTTTGATATAAAATAGATTTTAATCAAATTCTTACCAAACGCTAATTCCATTCATTTTTTAAACTTCTTAAAATCAATTTTCACTTTCAAAGTTTTTGAAATAACATACCATAAGTTAATTAAATAATAAAGTAAATGTAGGAGTGATAAAAATGAATAAATGAGAAATAATAGTTAATTGATCAGTTTACTTCTGCCCATAAGCGATAATTATGAATACCACCGGAGAATTCTCATCCCAAATATATAAATGCTTCTTTTTGCCCAGTTACAATTACTGCTAAGGGCAAACATCAAAATAACTTCTACCAATTTTATTTCTTTTTAAATATGCTTTTTGTATTAAAGCCAACGGTAAAACAATCGTCGATGACCGTACAGCATTGTGGCTGGTTTAGCTTTTTGATAATGACAGACTTTTTGCAGCTATGATGAAAATAAAATTGAAATAAATTTCAATATTTGACTTGAATTGAGAGATATGTTATTCACAATTTTCTTTTTTCAGCATTTTTAAATAGTATTTATTTGGTCAATCAAACAGAAAACTTCAATTAGCATTAGCAACATCATGGTGGGCATGAAAAGTGAAAAATTGCTCTTATTTCATTAAATTACATGCTAACCAAGTGATAAAAAAAGTGAATAAAAAAAGCAAGGTCGGAAATTATTGAATGCGATACCATATAATACATTTTATCCTACCTTGAATTATTTCCAGCAGAGATCATATGCTCAATTGTCGCAATCAGTGCAGCTTAACTTCTTCTAACTTCCTTCCGTAAAAGAATAAATGATTGTAATACATTGATAGATGGCGGAAAGTAGTAGTGGAAATGGTTTATTGATATCTGTAGTGACCTTTTTGGTCAGAAGATTGAGTTACAAAAAAACGAATGGGATGATGCTATTTGTTTAAAGTATGGCAATTTTCTTCCCATTTTATTTTACTTTATTTTTTTGAATAATACATCCCAATTCGATTGATTTCTTCTCAGAAGAATATCTATCAAAACGAAATATTTGATATTATCACCATTGTTTTTGTAACATAATTCCTGATGCGTTGCATTTTTAAATAAACAAGGCATGAAATTTGATTAGTTTTAGGGACTGAACGATTTCGCTTTCCTTATTGTTAAAAATTTTTTTTGCCATTGAAAAATGACAACAGAATTTTTTCTTTTTTTCTTAAAAAAAAAAATCTGTGAAACACATATCCATGCAGACCACACACACTTTTTTAACTGTGTTCCTTTAAATCATTTTGATTGGAAGAGTTGCATTATCAGTTCGACAAACCAAAACCGTTAATGTGAACGATGACTGAAACATTGGCGGAAATTGTCAACAAAATGATGTAAAATTGAATTAATGAAACATTTCTCTCACATTTTTCGATTTTAATTAATTTGCACAAAATGTTGCGAAAATTATTTGATAAATTCGATCAGATTTCACAAAAATT